AACAAAGCGGATTGCCTCTTTTAAATCCTAGTACAGGCAGGCCTCGTTTTCTTGTGCTGTGCTTTATCGCGTGTCACAGATACTATGATTTTTAGAAATTGATGGTCTGTGGCAACCCTGTGTCGAGCAAGTCTGTCGGTGCTAATTTTCCATTGGGCATCTGCTCACATTGTGTCTTTGTGTCACATTTTGGTAAGTCTAACAATATTTCAAACCGTCCACTAGCAAAAAGATGACCACTTGCTGAAGTCTCAGATGATGGATAGCATTTTCGGCAATGAAGTCTCTTTTAATTAAGGTATGTATATTGTTTTTTTTAGACCTAATGTTACCGCACGTGCTACTAGACTGCACAGTATAGTGTAAACATAACTTTTTTTTTTTTTTTTTCTTGCGTTATGCGGGCCTCTCACTGTTGTGGCCTCTCCCATTTGTGGAGCACAGGCTCCGGACGCGCAGGCTCAGTGGCCATGGCTCACGGGCCCAGCCGCTCCGCGGCATGTGGGATCTTCCCGAAACGGGGCACGAACCCGCGTCTCCTGCATCGGCAGGCGGACTCTCAAGCACTGCGCCACCAGGGAAGCCCTAAACATAACTTTTATATGCACTGGAAAACCAAAAAATTCATGTTACTCTGTGATTGATAGTCGCTGTATCGCAGTGGTCTGGAACTGAACCCAGAGTGTCTGAGGTTAGCTTGGATTAGGACTATAATAGTATTAGAAAGCCCTAAAGGGATTTTTTTCAAAACTTCTATTGTGGAAACTTCGGTCATCACTCTTTAATGGACTGAAAGTATTTTGCTTGTTGGTGTTTACATGAGTAGGTCCCTCCTGTATAATTCTGACTTGATTTTCATTTCTTAAACATCAAGTTGCCCAAGGTCTAACTACAGCAATGGACAAGTCTCTACTTCACCCTCCGGGAGTTGCTATATTTTGTGGCAGGCTTGCTGTCAGTAATTAAGATAGTGCATGTGGTCTTCTGTAACTTCGTAACTGCACACAATGCTCCATAAACAGAAGGTATTAAGCAGTGTGACCAACAGCGTACTGCTTGGGCTCCTGCTGGCTCTCCTGCTGAGCGTGAATCAAGGGCGATGAGCCGGAGGCAGCACCTCAGTTAGAAACGTCAGTGTGTCAATAGTGACAAAAGCCGGTCGTTACTAAGAAAGGTCAGCTGTACAAAGTCCAAATGTATAATCATGCTGACAGATAAGAGATGATAAAATGAAATACTAAGTAACAAATTTAGCTCTGTTGCTTTAGCGAATGGCTGTTTGCTCTACATAGTTGTTCTCTCAGTAGAGTTTTTTACTTGAAGTACAGTTGATCTGCAGTGCTGTGTTTCAGGTGCACAGCAAATTGATTTAGTTGTACATATCTATGTATATCTACTCTTCCTCAGACTCTTTGCCCTTACAGCTTATTACAAAATAATAGTGAGTATAGTTCCCTGTGCTGTACACAGGAGGACCCTGCTGTGGAGCAGACGTCTAGATCTTGGGTTTGTAAAACAAACAGCCAGTGGGACATGGACCTTGATGAAGGCTCCTCATTGCTTCCACTTTCCCCAAACTTAAAGCTTTGTGTTAATCCCATAACCAAGTATGAAGCTAGTCAGAAAAATTATACACTAAAGTGTGAGTGGCACTTGATGTAAAATACAGCCCAGTGGGTTACGGTGGTTTCTCAAATTGCTCTTGCTTTAAAAGAGGTTTCTGTCAGGAATGAAACATGTAGAAACTTGATCTCCATAGAAATGTGGAATCTTGATTACGCACGCTGTTTAAAAATGACACCATACCGAGGACAGAGAAGGACACTATTTATGTATGGTAAAAAGGCAAGTGAATGAAGCTATAATTTTTATTTCATTTCTCTTAATACATCCAGAGCTATTGCCACCTAAATCCATCTTTAAAATAAGCATACACAAGTACTGACTATTATCTACAAATATTTATTGTAACACTTGAACTACAGGAAGCCCTTGGCACTGATAGAAAATATTGATTCACTGTTTGTTAGGTTACAAAAATTTATACATAGCAAAATTTTATGCTCTTTACATAAAAAATATTAGACTACTTAAACAGAACTTTCAAAAATTCCTGGTAATGGCTACCAGAATTAGAAGAGTAAAATTAGGCTTTAGACACTGCCTCTTCTACAACACTGGACTCAAAACAGCACCTCCACTGCTGGAAAAAATATTTAAGTCTGTCATGCAACAGGAAAACAAAACACCAAGCTATTCTGGAACAACTGTTCTACACAGAAGAGAATGTCTCCCAATTTAAGAAAAAAAAAAAGTCAAGATCCCAATAGGCATTTTTTTAGGCATTAACAACACCAACAAAAAGAATCCAAATGAACTATTATACTTGATGTTCAACTTTAATAGCATCTGATAACGGTATGCTTCCTCTCATTTTAACACATTTCTGCACATGGATACGTTTTAAAATCCAGGAAACAGCCAAACCACAAGTTAATTCTTAACATGAATATACATAGTTAACCCTATATTACGCAGCCCCCTTTGAAAAGCACTAATGCACCCAACAGTTATGTGTATCATTTCCTAAAGAACAACACAAAGTTTACCATCACTCATACTCGATACCTATAGTCACTTAATGTTCTGAAACACAATGATTTAGAAGGCAAGTTTCTTTCGAAGATGGCTTAAAAACTGAAGCAGTTGGGTTTTTTTGTTGTTGTTGTTTTTGTGGGGGGGGGGGGCTTTTTGGTTTTTTTTTTTTTTTTTTGCTGAACACTGAACTTTATTATTCCAGGAAACTAAGATTTAGATAAGAAAAAGTGAAATAAATACCAACCCTAATTGAAATTACTTCAGTATTCAAGTGTATAAAAGTAGGTGGTGTGCGGTCTGTTGGTCATTCGGTTTTAGCTATATAGTTGGTATGAAACTGTAAACTCACTATTCAGACCACGTAAAAATGGTTTTGAGTGGTGGTCATTTTAATAAGGTAACACTTCTCCAGGAAGAAAAACAACACTTGTGGAACAAAATTCTATGAAGGATTTGGGGTTGCCTGTTGTTCTTAGAAATTTAAAGCAACTACTCATTAAGGCAGAGCTGACATTTCTCAAGAATGATGACAACTGGGTCACTTTATTAAAATGAAATCTATTATAAAATTGATTCTATTAAAATGAAATCTATTATAAAATTGATTCTGGAAAGTTGATTCTGGAAAGTTTGTCAGTTGAAATCCAGCTTCTTCCACGCTCGGTGTAGCAGAATTATTATAGTGGGCTCACTTTAACATTCTTGGGAAAAAAGGATTTCTGATTGGATCAGGAAATTAATACGTCCTGCGGGTGCGGAGGTCGGCTATTCTTTTTTAAAAACGGTCAGTTGTAAGGATCACTTTATCTTTGAGCCCCAGCTTCATAAATGTCAGCTGTCTGTCTGTCAGAAATGGAACTTCACATCAATTCCACTTTATCTCCTATTTTAGATACATTTATCTATTTGAGAACGGATGGTCGCACCCCCTGATGCTGGTATGGCATGGTCCCTATCAAGATAGGGAGGGGGATGATGTATTCTCACAGCCTGTCTTGGTAGGATCGTGAACAGGCCACAGATTTTCAAAGGGATGATGAGATGATGAACGCTCATTTTGTCAAAGTGTTGCCTTTTAAAATGGCTCCCATGAAACCTCCAATATCTGTTCTAAAGAAAAAGAATTTACCTACTGGAAGGTTCTCCTAGAAATACATCCCAGCAGCTTGAGACAGACAGTGAAGTGTTTGTTTGGACTTCTACATGAGTTTGTTTGGTGGGGTACACAATCTGTACTGCAGAGCAGCTGTCTGATGATTTGTCAGAGCTGTAAATTCGTCGGCTGAGACCCTCTGGCAAACATTTATGTGTAAGAATTGAGTTGTTCTTTTGACCGAGACTGGATATCTTGCAGTTCCTGTTCTTCCTTGGCTTTGATATCCTGGTAAGCCTGCATTTTGCTTGCATCCTTTAAGTAAGCCCAGTTAGAAGACAGTATCATGAGGAAGTGGATCTGGAAAAGAAGGGTGAGCATGATGGCTAGTGAGCATGTGAGAAGGCAAAGCGAGCTGTGAGGTACATTAGACGCTCTGTACTGGAAAAAGGGAGAGGTGGTTATTCCGTATTAATACTCCTGCTGTCAATCAGAGGCATCGGAGACTGAGCGCATGCTCTGCTAAGACGCTTCATAGTAAGAGGCTGAGGAAAAGTTAGTACACACACAAACATAATGAACTTGGAAAAAATGGCCAAAGAAGTTTACTGTTAAGAAAAGGCAAAAGTGAAATACGACAGGGCGCTTTTTACCATTTTGAGGGTAACTTTAAGGCAGAAATTCCGAAACACGCTGTGGGGTTATTTTAGAATCAGTGTTGTGCAAAGATCTAGCTTTCCTATCGATCCGTGGATTAGAAATAATTCCCCCATAAGGCCTGAAAGTGTGAACAATGTTTATTTTGAGTAAATACTATAAAACTACATCTTCAACATGTAAAAATGAAGTGAATGTCAAAACCAAAATTAAGAACTAGAAGCCCAGCATGCAGTCTCTGTGTTAACACATTTTTGGTAGTGCAACTACAGTTTTCACTTTATAACTGCCATGATTTCATTTCACAAAACGTCAGAACCTTTATTATCATTCTTCACAGTTGATGTGGCAAACACTTCTTTCCCGCTTATCTTCCTCATCTTCCCTGCAACACCTACATCTCAAGTTCCTTATATTATACACAAGTTCCTTCTCGCCGTATTTGAGACTTTCCGATCCAAGCACAATTACTCTCCCCATTATAAACTCGTACGTGCAGTTTGAGAAGTGGCTATGAGGCATCAGCTACTACTCACCCAAAGCCAACACTCTGAGGTTATCAATTCTGGGGGCTCTGAAAAATAAAACTGCATATAAATCGTCTTTTTAGAGATAACAAATAAGCCGACTTTTGAAGGAAAAGAGCTCACCCGAGGGGCATTTATTGGGTAGTGAGCCCTGTAATCATAAAGAAAATGTTGTACTCAAATTTAGACTGTTGGTAAAATATTTTCCAGACAGAGTCTGACGAGACCAAATCCCCATGGAAACGGCTCTCCTCCACTGCACCTCCAGCGCTTGTTTTCATCACGGAAATTGGTTATCAGACAAGCAAAAATAAAGGCAAATGCAGGTATTCCAAAGCTTTAATACTTAGAGATACTACTGCTCAGAGTAGTTTCAGTTCAGTTTTTCAGTGGCTGCTCACCAATGTCAGTACATAACTGAATCCTTTCCAAAAGGTGGAAATAGCCAGATCTCATTATTTTGTAGTTCATGGACGGTAAGTCATTTCATTAATCTACCATGCACAATGAGTTGACTAGAGCGGTTTACAAATTACTAGAACAAAACTGCAGAAACCTAGGCTCTGCTTTAGTCTGGGGGTCAGTGGTACTTCATGCTACCGCGTATAGCTCTCTAAAGCTCCTTATTGGCCTTATGCAATTTAGAACTTAGTGCAGCAATCTTCCCGACTCTTAAACTTCAAAACCGCATAGTTATATGTAGTAGCCATCATGTAGATCAGCTGGTGGAAGAGAACAGAACAGGACAGTAAGATACAGGCAATGAGGGCCGGCGCCCTGACGCTTCTAAACTCGGGTGGGGATGAGTGCCAGCTCAGAGCCTACGGCGTGCTGCTTTTCTCCCAGTTATAATCGTAAGAGAAGATTTTTCATAGCTGGCACACACACAAGTTCCTGTTTGGCATTTCACATATAAGTAAGCCCTCTGCTCTCCCGTCAGTACATTTATGAAAAAGACTGGATGTATTTAAAAAATAACAGAGCTGGGTGAGCAGCATGAGAAAGAAAGAGGAGGCTAAGAGCCCTGTTTCCCCTCGTTCTTTCCCACGCTGCCCACTCAGCAGCTGTTAGTCCTCTGCCTGCCTGTTGCTCAGCGAAGAGAACAGGTCACCCCAGTTAGGTAGTCGGTGGTTCTTTCCCTGGCTGGAAGGGGAAGGGATGACGTCAAGGTTGGAAAAACTGGGCAGGACTCATTTCCGAGCACATGAGATTTCCCCTCCTCTCTACGAGTCTTAGATTTCTCGACACCACAAACCCAGCCCTCCCAAATGCTATACACACACACATACACAAACATACATACACCTGTGTGGTTGGTTGCACCCTCCCTATGTGTGAATTGGCCTTGGTGCTAAAATTTCTCTGTAACTCCCAGGTCAGGACTCAGGGCACTGCCACGGCCATTCGGACATGCAGAGTGGGGGAAAAGCTGAGGCAACCAAGGCACCACTCTGCCTTCTTGTGGCAACTCTCGGGCTGTAAACCAGCGTCCTTTTCATCCTCTATTTAGTGCCATGGAGTTTGCATTTCTGTGATTTCACTCTTTACACACTCCCTCACCGGCATGCTGAAGGGCTGGCTAGGGTCCCTAAGCACAGGAAGGCGGCGAGGGGCCTTACGGGGAAAACACGTGTGTTAAACTTTGTTCAGGTTTGAGTTATGGTGCTGTTCAGGAGTCGGCAATATATACTCAATAAGATGTCTTTCTTTAAACAGAAGCAAACTGATTCCTGCCACAGAATCCCAATTGCATCACCCACCATGGATGCCTAGACCACCACCTCGTACTTCCTGCAGTCTAGACATGGGGTAGGTCTACACAGGGGAAACTGAACCAAGGTCGAGTCCCAGGCTTGTTGGCTGGAAGGGAAATTTGTTATTAGAGTGAGTGCAGGGAAGCGGGGGACTGCACTAGGCCCGTCCTCGGGCCAGTACTCACCAAGGCAATGACGGTGGCGCCAGCTCCGGCGCAGGCCACGATGAACAGGTGATAGGACATGTAGAACTAGGAAAGAACAGGGCACCAACGTTAGCATTTTATGTGGAAGGAAATGGCCTCCCCCGATCCGGGCGCAGCTCCCTCTTTCTCCTCTAGGGCTGTTTTCTGAAGGCTGGGCACATGCTGGAATCACCTGCAGGGCTTTCCAAACTTCCTGCGGCCCAGGCTGGACCCCAGGCCCGTTACAGCGGAGAAGCTGGGGGCTGGGCCCCGGCGTCAGGATATGCTACTGCGCCGGCGTGCCTGCAGTCTGATCCTGGATATACACGCAGAGCAACCAGGTCGGCGGGCCCTGCCGGTCTCAGTCGCTCACAGCTTCCAAAAGCATGTCAGGATTCGCTTGAGTATGCAAGCTTCCACGAGTGCATTTGAGAATCTGCTTTTATAAACAGTTATAAACCACTGCCTAAAGACTGTTCTTTTAAACCATAGTGTGTCAGGATTTATTGCCAATTAAGGATGAACAAGAGATAGGAGCAACTCCGTCTGGAAACGTGAGACGAAGTGCCAATGTATAAAAATGTGCTTGTATACAACAAATTCAGGGCAATCTTCTCTATGAAAATTTACCTTGGTTCTGTGACAAGTGTCCTAAGGTGAAAGAGGAGAATCTACATATGGATTCAGATTCAGATTCGCAGGACTGGGCTCACTCTCGAATTATTGCCAAAAGAGAAACCTCTCTTACGGCGCAGGCTCCTCCCTCAGTGGGCTGGGCCATGGACCAGAGCCATTTTCTAGGTCAAAAAGGGAGGCAGCGAGCCCTCTCCCGCTCTTTGTCCCTAGGAGAACCCCTTCGCTCAGCCTCTTTTGCCCAGTGGTCATCTAGGAGCCCGCGGAGGGGGCGGGGTTTACCTCACTGGTGTTGCAGATGTTCTCCAGGGCCGAGCCACATATTCTTCCTGGGAAAGCATTCCAAGGAATGATACCTGGGAAGCGAATCCCGAGAGAAGCTTAGTGATTAGTGCGAAGTCCAGCGCCCCTGCTCTCAGCAGGCCCCACCACTTTCAGTGGCAGTTACAACACAATGACCGGCCGAGTTCTTCAACAACTGATGTACCTGCTCCCTGTAGAACAAGCTTTTGGGCATAAAAAGTCCTATTTGGACAACAGGGCAAGAGCAAAGTCAACTAACTAGTCCATAGGAGAACTAGACAACTCAATTTTTTTCCCTACGAATTCTGCTTTGGTTAGTTGAGCTGACAGTCCTGAACTCTAGTTCAACAGCCGCAGGCCAACCCCCCTCACAGGCATTTCCTCCTCCTGAAGCCAAACCAACACCTCTCCCCCCGAATTTCATGGTCTGCGGCCTCATCCCTCAAGCTTGATGTCAGTGGTCCACCCCAAGATCCGTTCTGAAACTGGGAGGCTGTGCTCAGAAAGGATCACGGCAATTCGACAGAGTAATTATGTTCTAGAGTTTGGGTTTCCATTTTGTATGTGTGTCTTTGCTTTCCTATTCATTTTTGTTGTGTTTTACAAGTATCTCGGAAATGCTTCTGGGTTGAAGCTCCAATTGGAAACTTGGAAAACCACTGTCCTTCCGCACGGAGAGCGCGGCCCGTGGTGTCTCTCACTGGACCCAGCTCACCTCTGCAGGCACCTTGTCCACTCGGTGGCTGCTGCTGCCCTTTCTGCCGTTAATGCCTAGGTGTGTGCTTAAATATGACATGGGTCAAGTTCTCCTTCGCCCAGGCGGTAATAAGGAAGGAAGGAGGATTTTAACAAAACACCCCTTATTCCTTCCGTCTTTGCTATGGAGCAACAGTAAGTCTTTCTGCTTCAGAGGAATGGGAAACGAAACCACTGGTTTCAAATCTAGAACATTTTTTAAAAACGATGACCAAACATTTGTAGTGAATATTTAAGAAGAGGGAAATGATACATGCATCTAGATATTCACTTACAAATACTGTAGAAATCAACTTTAGGATGGACCGAAAACAGAGACTGAAGGACAGAGTGGGTGAGCCTTTGGCTCTATGAGAAGAGATTAGTCCGATGGGCAATTTTAGGTGAGATTCGTATTATGGTTCAAGGTAAGATGCTGAGGAGAAGAAGCCAGATAGGAAAAATAAGAAGCAGAAAAGCTCTGAAAGAACAATGATTTCCTCTTCAGTTCTAATGAAAAGCTCTTCTTTTCCTCCTAGTTGTTTCTGCCAAGAACAGGATTTCCTACCATCCTGGCCAGAAGCACTACTGAAACTGCCTTCTCTCCCTCAGCAGGGAAGTCGGGTCTACAGTGCTGGACAGGAGGCGCCCTGGCCCCTTCTGTGGCCTGCTTAGCTGCCGAGGGTTAAGGATCCCCCTCATTAGAAAATATGTGCCAACAGGTTTTTTCCAACAGCTGGCTTTGATAGAGTACCTTCTGATGACTTCAAAATACACCTGGACTTTATGTTTTGCTTTTCAATGTTAAAGCGATACGGTCGGTCATTTAAAAAAGACCTGATTTAAAGAGGTGAATGTGCAGAGTAACTGGATTATACAATGCATGCAATATTCGGGGTGGAAAATTGGATGGTACCAAACCGAAAAGAAGTTGAAGGAAAAATATATACTCTTTTTAGAGTGGATATCCACACGTCTTTTTTGATTGAACTGCATTATAAAAAGTTTCTTCTACTGTACCCTGAACTAGCAAATGTAACAATTTTGAATGACCCTTTAGAGCCTAACTGGTGTTTCCATCCAGAAAATGGAGCACATTGAGGGAAAGA